CACTGATCAGGTTGTGCTAATATGATTTGCCCATTTACAGAAGTCAAATCTTCTTGGTGGATAGCCTTTGCAATTGACAGTGATGTTAGCAAAAGCATCCCATTTTCACCAATAAGCTATAATCATGATTTATATTATTTAGTCTCTTAAACACTAAGCAGTCTTTAGTACGTGATGTGCTTACTTGGAAGGTTTCTCACAAAGTCACACGTGCCTTAGAGGGCTTCTTTTATCCACTCAAGTCTGTGAACCATAGGGGGGTGAAATGAAGATACATCCATATAACATCTGAAGTGGTGAAAAGAAAAATTGTCAGTATATGTCAGATGTGAAAAATGTTGGCAGGTTAGATTAGGGAAGTTTTGTAATTAATGAAGTGAATGAGACATCATTGTTTTAAGTAACTTTGGAACTATTTAAAATTATAGGTGTATACATATGTATATGTCTCATTATGGTTTGTTACATAGGTTTACTTCAGAAGTAAATCATATGTGTGGTACGTAGCTATCGTGGCCCAGCCAAAGACTATAAGACAGGGGTGGTTAGCTTCACATAGTAAGCACTTTCAATATGCAGTGATGCTATTATGTGGAAAGACACCTGTGGTTAGAAACCATTTTATTTAAATTAAAATGAATAAAATCTATTATATAATCGACTGTACAAAAACTTTATAACTACAGATTGAAGCAAAATTTCTTCATAATGTAAATTACTGAAAGGTCTATAAATATTCTATTTCACGCTTTATTTTAAATGTTGTATACTATTTTTTTATGACGACATTTTGTTTGGACTAGAAAATGTAGCTCAGTTTGTGGAGTGCTGCTTAGTATTCGTGAAGCTGTAGTTTCCATCCCCAGATCAACATAAATTGAACATGGTGGAACACATCTCTAACCCCAGGACTATGGAGGTAAAGGCAGGAGGATCAGATGTTTAAGATGATCCTTGCCTATATGGAGAGTTCTAGCCCAGAAGAGCATATGTGAAACTGTCTCAAAACACAAACAAGCAAACAACAATAAACAGAGAAAGAAGATACATCATTAAGCCTGCCATTATGTCACCTCCTTTTTATGACATATATTAATTTATGTGTTTATGGGGTACAGATTTGATACATATACGAAGTGAATAGTGATCAAATTACTGTTACCAGGCTCTCACATTCCTGTTATTATCAGTGGACATAGAGTCTGGGAGACACCCACAGGAATTCCAAGGTTCTTGTGTATCAGAACCAAAACTGGATAGAGACACAAGGATGCCAACAGAAGCAGTGTGTTTACTAAGAATACACAGAGTGGGAGATGACTCAGAGCTAGCTGTGCAATCCAGACTGAGTGCAAACCCCTAGCCACTATGTAAGCTGAGCATGATGGTATGCCCAGGTAATCCCAGCACTGGAGAAGTACAAACAAAAGTTTCCCTGGAACTAGCTGGCCAGCGAATCTTGCACAATCGGTCAGGTCCAGGTTCACTGAGAGATCATGTCTCAAAACAATAGGATGGAGAGAGCACACTTGTCATCACTGACCTCCACATATGTAGAAGCACACATGCTTAGATACATGTACACACTCATAAAGAATGTTCATCCAAAAGAGGAAGTGTGCCAGACATGGAAGGAAGGTAGAAGCTCTGTGGCCCTGTATGTTGTGACTGTGTAATAAGTCAATTTATAGCTTCACCTTTGCAAGCATTCGTACCCCACCTGCACACTCTGTTACCTGTTGGCCTTCCTCGGGAGTTTCCAGTCTTCCTGGTTTCTTCAGATGCTGACCTCACAGCCCGCTGCGCTTCATTCTGCCCCACACACCTGCCTCACTCCAGCTTACCATTCTACTGAAAAACTAGGAAACAAATTAATGGAACGAAATAGATTTATTTAAGGTCAGTTCTAAGAAAAGCAGGAAAGTTGTTATCTTTCTCATCTCACCAACTTTGTTCTTGGATGGGTGAGGACGGTGTGAGAGTATAAAAGATTTTATGGAACACAGTGGTGGGAAATCCCCACACTGATTCTTTCTCTCCAGTTCACAATCTCCTCTTTCAAATGTTGATCTGGAAGGAAAGTCCTTTCAGACCCGGGACTCTGCATTTTCTTTCTTTAAAAATTTTTTATTATGTTTGTTTATTTAATGTGTGTGAGTGTGAGAGTGTGTGTGTGTGTGTGTGTGTGTGTGTGTGTGT